GCACAAGAGAGATGCCCGTGAGTTTGGTTTGACACAAATAAGGTTTAATCAAATAAATCCACATAATAACCTGTTACTTTGCCATGTGCTTCTTAAATCCTAGCTCAACATGCCACCAGACAACAAAATTAAGGGCGTTCACAACAATTAACGACAATGTCATAATTGACTCGATTTTACATAAGAAGGGAACTCATTGAGTTCTTTGAAAATACGAGGATCTAATTGACATGAATCTGTACAAATAGAGACCTCTGAAATGATTAAACCTAATTAAAATAGTAATTCATGTCAAAGCTGATGACATTCTATTTTACTTTATAACGTGAATTTTTTACAACTTGATAATTTCTTGATGTTTTAGGGTATTACATCCCACCTTTAAAATTTTCGTTCCTGTCATTTCACAAATCTATCATGTCTTTGGATAATTTGTTCACGTATAAAACATTATACGATCATTGCCGATAATTTTATTTCCAAACACGTAAACACAAACATTTATGAGATAAACTACCAATAAAACAATCAACAATAAAATACTATAAAAATAATACAATGTAATAGAGGTTTATTTCGAGTGGTTTTAAAAATCCTGGAAAATTTTGGTTGTTTTATTAAAATCTCCAAATAAATTAAAAATATTTTTTTTTTGTTAAAAAACTTTTCCTATGGAAACCGCATAGTGAGGTGAAAAAACCTTTTATTTCCCCTAATTTTTGCCGCTTATATTTTCCCTCCCTCGTTCTTGCCGCTTATATTTTCCATCCGACCTTCTTCCCTCTATCTCTCCATCTTCTCCAAACAGAGCTATTTCATCTTCTTCTCTTTCACAACTCTGTAACCAACCCACCGAGAAGGCCAACCATCACATCTCTAACCTCACCAGCACCGTAGGTTTCGCCCTCTTAGTTTCTTTTTCCCAAATTGTTTTTCATCTTACAATTTACTTTGCAGTCTCTCAATCCTATCTCTAACCCTAACACCCAACCTTCCAATCTTCCTTTTGATCTTTCATCTCTCAGGTAAATCCCACAAAAGGGCCAGTGATCGTAAATTTACACAATCTTTTTAATTCTTATTCATTTACTTTCTGACTTTTAATCTCTCGATTCTGTGTATTGTTCACCAGTTATGGATTTAGTCAAAGAATGGTTGAATGTCCTGGTATGTTTGTTCTTCTCTTTATATATTTTCTCATATCTATCTCCGTGATGTTGCTTGTTTAGAGTTTGAGTTGCTTGCTTTTGTTTTAATCCATTTGTTTTTTTCTCTCCATTTGGAGGTTATATACTCCTATATTAAACCATAAAATTGGGATAATGTTATACGACGGTTGCGGTAACGCACTAAGGGATGAAGGGTAGGGCTCCAATTAAAAGATTGTCAAAACTATGTTGTCGCATTCGAATGTGCTTTCTGGATGGAATCTCTTGTGTTGGAATGAAAATAGGGAAGTTATCAAGACATTGAACTTGTTTGTAAATTTTTGTTCCAACAAAGCACTTGGTAAAACATCAAGTAGAAATTTGTTCAGAAATCAAAGCCTGTGACTTTTTAGTTGGAAAAGAATGTGATTAATTGGTTATGATAATTTTGTTTGCTTTTGGTTCTTTTGTAATAAAGCTTTATGAAATCATGGTTAATGGGGTATATCTAAGTCTCTCTCACTATTCTTGAGTAATTTTCCTAGGAGTATGATTTCTCTTCTAAGCTGGTCTTTAGATTGTTGGTTTAATCACCTGATTAAATTTGGTGCATTGACAGCATATTGGCCTTCAAAAGTTCTGGTTTGTGGGTTCTGGTTCCTCCCTATTGAATGGCAGTTTACGTGTAAGAAATGCAGAGATATTTCCGTACATTATTCATCAGCGCATCAATATGCTAAAGATGACTTGTGTGCCAGTCATTTAGAATTGCAAAACTTTATAAAGACTGCATCAATTTTTATTGGAGTCAGTTCTATTGGAAGGTACCGTTTCCCACATTCCAATTCATGTTAAACCCATGCCTCCTCTCACATTGGATTGGTGTTCAACGTGAAGGAATGGTGATTCAAATTCAGCTTTAGTCTTTATTTGTATATTTTTTACTAATTTTTTGTATTTACTTGCAGCATGAGTTTCTTAAAAGACCCATATGCATTTATATGCATTTTTCAGACTGTCCTGAGTTCCATAAATTACAGATTTATTCTATTTACAGCAGGATATGAACCCTTAGAGTCAATTGTTCGTAGCATTTCTACCACCGAAGCACCATTTGAGCTGAAAAATTGCAGCGACGATTGTGTTCCTCTAGTAATGGGCGACTCTTGTGTTTTTTCGGGTGAGTTTTCCTTGGTTCTTTTACTACAAAAAACATCTGAAGGGGGCTCCCTTTTTAATGGAATAACTTGGATTTGGCATTCAATATTTTAGATTTAATTAAATTTGGATTTCTGATATAGTTTAGTGTCACTTAAAGTTGAGATTATGTTTTCTTACCTTCTTATCTCCTCTGATATTAAGAAAAGTTAATGTTCCCTTTCCAATTTTTTTTAAATGAAAGAAAAATTCTAGAAGAGTGACATGTTTTTTTATATAACGTGAATAGTTCTGTACCATACGGTGGCTTCTGCTGTAATTCACCACGGAGGCAGGTAAAATAATTTGTAGGGCTGGGTACAATTAATTTAAAAACTCTTAACTATAGTTTATTTGTACTATTTTATATTTAAAAAACTAATTATACTGTTTATTAGTTCAGTTTAAATATACGGAACTTATTTTATTTTCAGTATAGTTAACTGTGTTTTAGGTTTTCTATCTTATGCTTTCTCGCTATCACAATTTTCTCCTACATTCCTTTCTCATTAAAGGCTCGTTACTGTTGAAGGATCACTGCAGGTCGAAGGCTCGCCGCTCTGCTGTAGCGGAACTGTTGAGGGTGTTGAGAAGACTCCGCAACCCAAAGGTACAAATGTTTTTTCATTTCCCTTTCAAAAGAGAAAAATAAAATTGGAAAGCGATCCCAGTAGGTAACAGTTGATTTTCTGTTGGATTTTGTGTGAGTTTTAATTGTTTAGGAAGAATTATCTTTATTTGCCTTTTTTGGATAAGGTAGATTATCTAACCTATAGAGTTCTAGATTGATTGATAAAGAGAGAAAGCGGGGGTCTGTGACTGGATCCAAGTTGTGGAAACTCAATGTTGTAATTCAATACTGCCGTATACATTGGCTGTGTAGCATATGATCCTCCATTGAACCCAAAACCAGGATCAAATCTTTGCATGTACCTGCTATACAAATTATAAGTAGATTATTAGGCTAATTCATACATTAAATATAACTGAGTTTTTATCTTGCATACATGCTAAATAACAAAGAAACTGACAAGTTCCTTGGGACTTCAGCCTGCCAAAAAGGTTGATTATTATGATATGTGATAGACACAAACATATGGTCCTGGAGTTAGAAATGGAAAAATGGATTCAATTCGACCCAGTTGGCCTGTTATAATTTAATTAATATCAGTCATTGGGGTGGGTCAATTAATCAGTCATTGGCACTAATGGGGGATCTGAGAGCCTTCATCTTTTGTTGAGTTGGGAGAGAGAAGAGGCGTTGGAGTTGTTGTTCAGCCCCTTGAGAAACATCTAAGAGTATGCCATGATTCTTCAAATGGAAGGCATCCCAGTTCTCACATGCAAGGGCTATGAGTTTCTTGGCATTGGGATCCATCAGGTCTATGATGGGTATGGATGATGATGCAGGATCGTTTGAAATTACCACCCTCTTCAAGGATACATCCGGTGTTCCATGTTTCCTTTCTTAAGAAGGCAGTGGCTGACCATAAAACAGTAGATTAACTACCAACAGAGATAGAACATGAAAATGTGGAAGTCATGGAGCCTGAATCAATATTAGCTTACAAAAGTATTATGAAGAGGGGGGAGCGAGTTAACCAGTGGTTGGTTCATTGGAAGGGAAAAACAGCAGAGGATACAACTTGGGAGTATGAATTACTTTAGAAGTCAATTTCCAGGCTTAAGTCATGAGGACAAGACAGTTTTTCAGNTCACATGCAAGGGCTATGAGTTTCTTGGCATTGGGATCCATCAGGTCTATGATGGGTATGGATGATGATGCAGGATCGTTTGAAATTACCACCCTCTTCAAGGATACATCCGGTGTTCCATGTTTCCTTTCTTAAGAAGGCAGTGGCTGACCATAAAACAGTAGATTAACTACCAACAGAGATAGAACATGAAAATGTGGAAGTCATGGAGCCTGAATCAATATTAGCTTACAAAAGTATTATGAAGAGGGGGGAGCGAGTTAACCAGTGGTTGGTTCATTGGAAGGGAAAAACAGCAGAGGATACAACTTGGGAGTATGAATTACTTTAGAAGTCAATTTCCAGGCTTAAGTCATGAGGACAAGACAGTTTTTCAGGAGGAGGGTATTGATAGGTTCCTGCCCAAAGAGTGATTGGGCCCAACGAGCCTCTAGCCCATGAAGTGAAGCACGGTTCAAGATGGGGAAGAGTATATGTGAGAAAGAAGAGCAGGGGTAATGAAGTGGTCTGGTTAGAATAGTGGTTAGTTAGAGGAGAGAGAAAGAAGGAATAGTTTTCTGCTATTATTATCAGGTGTGGAGAGAAGCGGAAGGGTCATTTGTTGTCTGGTTGAACAGAGAACCTTGTTGGTTACTCTAGAGGAGCCTAGCTCTAGGCAGTAGGATTGGTTATCTTGCTGTGTTTTCCTCTTTTGCGAATAATCTTAGAACTTTCGCATATTTCATTAATCTATTCTCCTTTCTTGTTTGTTCCAGCGTTAGATCTGTATCAAGTAGTCAAGGCAAAGTCAAGATCCGTATGCCCAGATTTGCAAAAAACAAAATGGTTTAATATGGTATAAAAAGTTTAGTTGATTCCCCAGCCCTTATCAGTTACTAATTTCACACTTGAGATATGCAGTCCTTATAAGTTGGAAATTTAACATTGATTGGTGATATCATCAAACTAGTGTATTCTTTTCTTTAATTTTGTTATATTCTGGTACCATTTTGTTTCAAATTGGTTTCAGAGTTTATTGCTCATCATTTCTTGGTTTTGATAGTGATTACTCTCTAGTTTACTAGTATTAGGCTTTATATACATGATATTAAATATTAGGTGATAAACGTGATATTAGGTGATAAAGCCTTTTAGTCTTCCATTAATGGTCCACTAATCAACATTTCATTGCATTTAAATTCAGCACAATGTTATATATTAAATATCAATTTGTCTGTGAAAGATGATTATATTAACCATTCTCCGTAATTATGACTAAAGGGCCTTAAGTGAGATGACTTTGATTTTTAAGTGTGAAAACCTAATTTAGTTGAAAGGTTTACACCATTCTATGTTTAATCATGTTGACACAAAGAAAATGGTTTTATATGCGCTGGTGATGTGGCCACCGTCCTTCGATCTCATAGTGTATCTAGTCATTGAAATTTCAAATAATTGAAATTAAGTTAAAATATACTAGATGTTCACCTTTATTATTATTTTCTTTTAATTATAATTACCTCGGTGATAAATGGTCTCAACTTAACATTAACTTAATTTTTTATGCAGATCGAGAGTAGACAATTTCAATACCTGAGAAACTTGTTTTTTTTATATACAAGCATCACCTGGTGAGATAAAGTTTGTTTGTTGTTAATACTGAAGTAAAGACCATAATTCAGTGGCTTGCAGCTTCTCAGGTAATTTTATATTTTTACCTATTATTGTAACAGATAATTTTAGGAATCCCCTTTTTTTTGTGATAAACAATACGTTCTTGTTGAAAACGTTGTGGCATACAATTCATGATTTAATTAGTTTCTGTATTTGATTTCTTTCTCTTTTCTGGATGATCAATGTGATTGAAGTATTGAAATTTTGATAACCGGAGGGGGTGTTGTGTGTGTATGTGTTTGTGTGTGTGTGTGTGTGTGTTTAAGCATGTTTCGGTGTGTTTTTGGGTGAGTGTGTTTGCGTGCATAATATGTTTGTGCTTGGGTGTGTTTTTACAGTTGAGTGTGTGTGTTTATGTGTTTACTATGTGGGTGTGTGGGTGAGTGTCTGTGTGCGTTTGTGTGTAATATGTGTGTATGAGTGTGTGTTGGTGTGCGTGTGTGTGTGTCAGTTTTTGTGTGTGCTTTTGTGTAATGTGTGCTTGTGCGGTTGTATGTGTTTGTGTGTGCATTTGTTTGGGTTTGTGTGAGTGTGTGTTTCTGTGTGTGTGTTTGTTTTTATATTTATGTGAGTGTATGTGTTTTTGTCTCTGTGTTTCTGTGTGTCTATGTGCGTGTGTGTGTGTATGTTTATATGTATGTTTCTGTGTTTTTGTTGTGTGGGTGTGTTGGTATGTGTGTGTGTTAACGAGTGTAATGTGTGTGTGTGTGTTTTTATAAGGTTGTATGTATGTAGTTGTTTGTCCTTGTGTGTTAGTGAATGAGTGTGTGTCTGTGTGTATTTATAAGGTTGTGTTTGTGTAGTTGTTTGTCTGTGTGTTAGTGTGTGTATGAGTTTGGGTTATGGTAGAGTGAGGTGGTGTGAGGTTGGGTTGGGTTGTGTTGGATTGGGCTTGCGTTAGGGTTAGGTAGGGGTTAGGGTTGGGTTGGGTTTGATTGAGTTGTGTGTGGTGTGGTTGGGTTGGCCTTGCTTCTGTTTCGTTGGGGATGGGTTGGGTAGAGTTGGGTTGGGATGGGTTAGTTTGGGTGAGGTTCTTTTGGGCTGGGTGAGAGTGCGTTGGGTTAGGTGGACTTGGTGGGGTTAGGTGGGGTAGGGTTGGGTTGGGTAGGGTTGGGTTGGGTAGGGTTGGGTTGNCTGCCGTATACATTGGCTGTGTAGCATATGATCCTCCATTGAACCCAAAACCAGGATCAAATCTTTGCATGTACCTGCTATACAAATTATAAGTAGATTATTAGGCTAATTCATACATTAAATATAACTGAGTTTTTATCTTGCATACATGCTAAATAACAAAGAAACTGACAAGTTCCTTGGGACTTCAGCCTGCCAAAAAGGTTGATTATTATGATATGTGATAGACACAAACATATGGTCCTGGAGTTAGAAATGGAAAAATGGATTCAATTCGACCCAGTTGGCCTGTTATAATTTAATTAATATCAGTCATTGGGGTGGGTCAATTAATCAGTCATTGGCACTAATGGGGGATCTGAGAGCCTTCATCTTTTGTTGAGTTGGGAGAGAGAAGAGGCGTTGGAGTTGTTGTTCAGCCCCTTGAGAAACATCTAAGAGTATGCCATGATTCTTCAAATGGAAGGCATCCCAGTTCTCACATGCAAGGGCTATGAGTTTCTTGGCATTGGGATCCATCAGGTCTATGATGGGTATGGATGATGATGCAGGATCGTTTGAAATTACCACCCTCTTCAAGGATACATCCGGTGTTCCATGTTTCCTTTCTTAAGAAGGCAGTGGCTGACCATAAAACAGTAGATTAACTACCAACAGAGATAGAACATGAAAATGTGGAAGTCATGGAGCCTGAATCAATATTAGCTTACAAAAGTATTATGAAGAGGGGGGAGCGAGTTAACCAGTGGTTGGTTCATTGGAAGGGAAAAACAGCAGAGGATACAACTTGGGAGTATGAATTACTTTAGAAGTCAATTTCCAGGCTTAAGTCATGAGGACAAGACAGTTTTTCAGGAGGAGGGTATTGATAGGTTCCTGCCCAAAGAGTGATTGGGCCCAACGAGCCTCTAGCCCATGAAGTGAAGCACGGTTCAAGATGGGGAAGAGTATATGTGAGAAAGAAGAGCAGGGGTAATGAAGTGGTCTGGTTAGAATAGTGGTTAGTTAGAGGAGAGAGAAAGAAGGAATAGTTTTCTGCTATTATTATCAGGTGTGGAGAGAAGCGGAAGGGTCATTTGTTGTCTGGTTGAACAGAGAACCTTGTTGGTTACTCTAGAGGAGCCTAGCTCTAGGCAGTAGGATTGGTTATCTTGCTGTGTTTTCCTCTTTTGCGAATAATCTTAGAGCTTTCGCATATTTCATTAATCTATTCTCCTTTCTTGTTTGTTCCAGCTGTAGATCTGTATCAAGTAGTCAAGGCAAAGTCAAGATCCGTATGCCCAGATTTGCAAAAAACAAAATGGTTTAATATGGTATAAAAAGTTTAGTTGATTCCCCAGCCCTTATCAGTTACTAATTTCACACTTGAGATATGCAGTCCTTATAAGTTGGAAATTTAACATTGATTGGTGATATCATCAAACTAGTGTATTCTTTTCTTTAATTTTGTTATATTCTGGTACCATTTTGTTTCAAATTGGTTTCAGAGTTTATTGCTCATCATTTCTTGGTTTTGATAGTGATTACTCTCTAGTTTACTAGTATTAGGCTTTATATACATGATATTAAATATTAGGTGATAAACGTGATATTAGGTGATAAAGCCTTTTAGTCTTCCATTAATGGTCCACTAATCAACATTTCATTGCATTTAAATTCAGCACAATGTTATATATTAAATATCAATTTGTCTGTGAAAGATGATTATATTAACCATTCTCCGTAATTATGACTAAAGGGCCTTAAGTGAGATGACTTTGATTTTTAAGTGTGAAAACCTAATTTAGTTGAAAGGTTTACACCATTCTATGTTTAATCATGTTGACACAAAGAAAATGGTTTTATATGCGCTGGTGATGTGGCCACCGTCCTTCGATCTCATAGTGTATCTAGTCATTGAAATTTCAAATAATTGAAATTAAGTTAAAATATACTAGATGTTCACCTTTATTATTATTTTCTTTTAATTATAATTACCTCGGTGATAAATGGTCTCAACTTAACATTAACTTAATTTTTTATGCAGATCGAGAGTAGACAATTTCAATACCTGAGAAACTTGTTTTTTTTATATACAAGCATCACCTGGTGAGATAAAGTTTGTTTGTTGTTAATACTGAAGTAAAGACCATAATTCAGTGGCTTGCAGCTTCTCAGGTAATTTTATATTTTTACCTATTATTGTAACAGATAATTTTAGGAATCCCCTTTTTTTTGTGATAAACAATACGTTCTTGTTGAAAACGTTGTGGCATACAATTCATGATTTAATTAGTTTCTGTATTTGATTTCTTTCTCTTTTCTGGATGATCAATGTGATTGAAGTATTGAAATTTTGATAACCGGAGGGGGTGTTGTGTGTGTATGTGTTTGTGTGTGTGTGTGTGTGTGTTTAAGCATGTTTCGGTGTGTTTTTGGGTGAGTGTGTTTGCGTGCATAATATGTTTGTGCGTGGGTGTGTTTTTACAGTTGAGTGTGTGTGTTTATGTGTTTACTATGTGGGTGTGTGGGTGAGTGTCTGTGTGCGTTTGTGTGTAATATGTGTGTATGAGTGTGTGTTGGTGTGCGTGTGTGTGTGTCAGTTTTTGTGTGTGCTTTTGTGTAATGTGTGCTTGTGCGGTTGTATGTGTTTGTGTGTGCATTTGTTTGGGTTTGTGTGAGTGTGTGTTTCTGTGTGTGTGTTTGTTTTTATATTTATGTGAGTGTATGTGTTTTTGTCTCTGTGTTTCTGTGTGTCTATGTGCGTGTGTGTGTGTATGTTTATATGTATGTTTCTGTGTTTTTGTTGTGTGGGTGTGTTGGTATGTGTGTGTGTTAACGAGTGTAATGTGTGTGTGTGTGTTTTTATAAGGTTGTATGTATGTAGTTGTTTGTCCTTGTGTGTTAGTGAATGAGTGTGTGTCTGTGTGTATTTATAAGGTTGTGTTTGTGTAGTTGTTTGTCTGTGTGTTAGTGTGTGTATGAGTTTGGGTTATGGTAGAGTGAGGTGGTGTGAGGTTGGGTTGGGTTGTGTTGGATTGGGCTTGCGTTAGGGTTAGGTAGGGGTTAGGGTTGGGTTGGGTTTGATTGAGTTGTGTGTGGTGTGGTTGGGTTGGCCTTGCTTCTGTTTCGTTGGGGATGGGTTGGGTAGAGTTGGGTTGGGATGGGTTAGTTTGGGTGAGGTTCTTTTGGGCTGGGTGAGAGTGCGTTGGGTTAGGTGGACTTGGTGGGGTTAGGTGGGGTAGGGTTGGGTTGGGTAGGGTTGGGTTGGGTAGGGTTGGGTTGGGTAGGGTTGGGTTGAGTGAGATTGGGTTGAGTGAGATTGGGTGGGGTTGGGCTAGGTGATGGCTGGGTTTGGTGGAGTTGGGTTGGCATTGGTTGTGTAGGTTGTGGTTGGGTTAGGTCGAGTTGGGTGGTTTTGGGTTGGGTTATGTTAAGGTGGGGATGGGGTTGGGGTTTGGTTGTTTTGGGGTTGGGGATAGGTTGTAGGTTGTGTTGGGTTGGATTGAGTTATTTTTTACTCGGTTCAACGTGGTTGGGTTGGGTTGGGTTAGTTCGATTTGATTTGATTCGGTTGCGTTTGGTTGCTTTGGGTTCGGTTGCATTGGGTTTGATTCACATCCTACACCCTAATATAAAGTATCATAATTGCACTCCATTCAAAAGATAAAACAAAAAAAATAATAAGGATATATGTTTACCAAAAATATTTACATGAAGTGCAATCATGGAAATCCATATTAAATTTGTCAGCAGAAACCATAATATTTACAATTCATGTAGTATGTCCCAAAATTGTTAACTTAAAAATAAGAAATCCAGAAAAAAGACAAAAGTCCATATATATAATGAAAGCAACTGTTGCAGTTTGAATCTATTACTTACATCACAAGAGGAGATTGCGGTCTATCATGCCAGGTAGGAATGACTATCACAGGATCCTGAAATAATAAAAAAACGGGTGCCTGAGTGAATCTAAAGAAATGAGGGTGCCCCATACTTCTCAACAAGGGCACATGCCTATAACAACCTAGCTAAAGTAACATAATTTTTTGAAACACAAACTAGTAGACATAGAAATTATCTTTTAAGGCAGAAA